GTGACCGATACATTCGTACAGATCATCTTCAGAGTACAAATCGTGGCACGAAAGTCTAGCGGTGACCGTTATTGACCATAATTGGCCGTATTGCGCAATATTGCGTATGATTGGCTGTGTCTATCATTCGCACGCGCTGCTTGGCTCTCTAGTTCCATTCCGTCCTCCGTACTGATACGACAACTATTTAAGAACTATCGCCGATGAATCGCAAACCCTTTATAGAAACCGTATCTAAACAGTATCGGAAATAAATAGAAACATTCGATTGCACACACAAACTCCTCGTCTCAAAACACCGCCGTTTCGTCGTGGGTACAATATCATTTAACATTGTATCGACCCCATGCTATTTCACAAAATCTTGCAATGTCTTGCCATAAACTTGTGGTATAAAATACCACATTAAATAGTACTCGCTATGAAGATTCTTTACTGGTGACTAGGCATTCCTACTTAGGCCTCAGGATTGACATCGTTACGTTACGTAGCACTTATATTTATTAAATTAATTATGGCGATGTCAGATAGATGGTGATATCACATATCTGTGTATTCTAGAGTATAATATCCAGATCAACCACTTTGAGCAGCGTTAAATGCGTAAGCCATTTAAATATCGTAAAGAGTGCAGATTATTAAAAATCCTTCCTTCATCGCCAATAGTAGACTGTCACAAGGAGATAGACTATGAAGTGTAAAGAGACCGAGATAATACGAAACACTGCATACTGTATTTTATTTTATTCTCTTGCAGGCTAAATTCTACAGATATATATATATTTTCCCTGTAGTCTCTCATCACATGAGCCATTACTTCCCTCTACTGGCCTCAGATTCTTAGTAAAACTACTTTTTTTCTATCACTACGGCCGCACTGTAAACATGTATTGTCCTTTGCACAGATATTATGGGTCAAAGTTACAAACACCTGATAATATGCTAATATCGACATGCTACTGAATATAGAGCGAATATTAAGGCGGTGTTCACCGGTTTCAACTGGTTTTCGTTGGATTTTCGTGTTATAACAACAGTATATAGTTAATATTGTTTTATTTTGAAACGTAATATGGTAGGCCTTTTGTCTATCACGGCCTTAATTTATTATTACATGGCCTTATTTAAGGCTAGTTTGTTAGTGATGTATGAAAATATTTATTTTATTGAAATTGCGGTAAGCAAGCATGCAGCTCACCCAATGCTAATGGACTAGTGCTCGTAAACATATGGTTGCGGTGCGTTGCCGGTCTTATAAAACGAAGAAGGTCCTTTTCTTGAAAGTCTCTAAGTTGTATTGGTCAAGGAAACACACCTGTGGTAGCTGCCACAAAGATTCATTTTTGATTGGCTAGAAATTAAATCATATAATTCCTGCACTCTCTCTCCGGAATGAACCCTATGACTACTCTGCACTGCTACAGGCTTGAGGTTTACAAAATTGGTTTTAACTAATTCAAAGTGACTAACAAGCCTCGTATAACATCTCTCCACAAAAGAGTTCAACGCTGCCGGGTGGTATTTTGAAGCAATAATACAACGACGAAGAAAACCGTTCAGTTCGAATGCGTGATAATATGCGTGATGATAAAATATCAACAATAAAGGATTGAAGACCCGCCGAAGGTCTAGTTGTTCAATAGTAGTACTCTTGCGTCCAATTCTCTTGTCTTCTTGTCCAATGGTCCAAAAGTGAAAAAGAAATGAAGTTATGCGCACATTCTGCAGAATTTATCGTACTGAACACTGAGAGGCTGACTACCTTGCCTATGTGCTTGAGGCTGACACGTTTTTTGCCTGCAACAACCTTTAAATTTGTATACAATGTGGAAGTCTTTAAGTGAATAGTCGTTAGACTTTTGCAAGCTTTTATTTAGCTTGCTTTCTTCATATCTCTTTTCGATTTGAAATGTTTAGTAAATTTTTGAAGCCCTTGGCGATATCCGAATGAGCTGAAATTTAGTATGTAACTGTAACTTCTATAACAGTGCAATAATATTGTAAGATAAGCTGTTCAATGATAGATCTGGGTGCTACCACTAACAACGCCAAAAAGCCTGTTTTTATAATACATTATTTAAGAAAATTGGAGTGTGATGATCGTTAGCCTTATTTTTAGTAACAGCTGGCTTTTTTTTTAAATAAATAGGTGTGAAAAACACAGACAGTCAACCTGATAGTGAACCTGATAGTTGATAGAACGAAGTGGATGCTGTGGCCCATAGACATCTACATCTATAGTAGATTAATAATCAAAACGCTTACGTTGTCACTGCTGAAATAAATGAAAGGTAATCAAGTAGTTAATTTTTTCCTTGTTTTCTGCGTTGATTTTAACCGTCTGGTGGCTGTGTAAGAATATCCACATACTATATCGTCCTGTGGGTGTTGTCAGAGTGGACAAAGGTAAACAATGCGGGAGAAGGACAGCAGCATCTTCATTATAACAAAGAAAACAAACTCGCCTGCCAAGCGTGGCAGTGCCATTAATGAATTCTTGAGGGGTTCTTGAGGTGTTCAGCATTGGACTTTTATACTTAAGGGCTTTCTTTATTTGGAAAACTACGCTACTTATTAGGAAAATAAGGTTTGAATGAAGAGCTTTAAGTTTAGGTGAATGAATATGCTTGTTATAAACCAAGTATTAAGAACATTCATTACCGACTTGTTCGACCGAAACTTGTTTTAGGACAAAGAATGTTCAGAGAAGTATCAGGTTTCGTAAGCAATATTTCATGTATATAAATTATCAGCCCCTTAACAAAGAAAATTGAATATTGCAACTGTTATAGCACAGCGCAATACGCCGAAGTACGCCGCAGATTATGATAATGACGGCTGACATTGGCGCATAGCAGCGCACACGATATTTGTTGTTGGAATTTATGTCGTGATAAGTGCATTTGTTGAAGGAAAAAAACTAAAACTAAAATAGATGTTTTTTTTAAATAGTTTTTAAACCTACTGGCTGGTAAGAGTAAGAAATAAAAAATAATAAGAAATAAAAAAACGAGGCACTGTTACTCTCATGTATGCCTACTTATTATTAATTGTCACTTGAATTTTGGTTTCTGCATGTACGCCTTTATTATTTGTGCATGGTTTTAGAGGCGTAAACCTTTTTTGAAAGTTTTTGCACCAACAAGCTTCATAATATTTCAAAGCTAAACTTTAAAAGTGTTTTAATTAATAAAATCTCGATCATTTTAATCTTTAAATCGCACTTAGTATGAAAAACCGTAATTTTTGAATTCCCTGTTTTAAGTGGTTTTGTCGGTATGTATTACCGATACCAATTACGGACCTTCAAGAAAAGAGCCTTCTATTTTCTAAAAGGTCAGTAACGCATCTGCAATTCCCCTGGTTTTGCAGTTGTTCATAGGCCGCGGTAGTGACTTAGTATCAGGTAAGTCGCATGCTCGTTTGACCCGTTTTATTAAAAAAAAATGTTAATATTTTTTATCCTGAAATTAAGACTTATGTAAGCCTTTTAATTTGACCTATCCGGTTGGCTCTTATGTTAAAGCGTCATAACATGTAGTTTTGGATTGAATTAAATTCAATTTGGGATAAACTCTGCGTGACGTGGGCGTAAGGGTGAATTATTAATTCTATTTAAGTAGCTCACGTTTAGTAGTTTACTTATGCAAGAATAGAAAGTTATTGCATAGAAGCCTGAATAGTTATAGTAACAAATTTTATCTTTTGATTTTCAAAATAACTAATACCTACTTAAGCAATAATTACACCTCCTCCGAATACAATAACATTACCACAAGCTTTTTATTATTAATGTATTCATTCATATTAACATACCTATACCATTTTAACTGAAGATGTTATAAATTTATTTGAAAAGTAGTCGTGTGAAGAGCACCTTCCACCCTCCTTCATTTGAGTTAAGAGACGCGTCATTTTATTTTATTACGCTAACTAACTTACATAACTCAACTTACCTTACTAAAATTTTATTACGTAACGCGAGATTTTTATATCTTTAAAATTTTTATTATTTATTTTTTACATCAAAACATTATATGAACAGAATCATATCATGATAACTAAGCATCCTCACGGATCAGTCGGAGTATTTTTTACATATTATTATTTATTATACTTTGTTAGGATACGAACGTTTAAATTTAAAAAAAAATGTATTAATAAATACAATTGCTTATTTGCGTTTAATATTATATCCCCAAATCGGTCTTGTGTCATGTACTTTCTATTCATCTTTATTCACAGGTATATCAAGTGGTCTTCAATCTTCTGGTAGTTTATGTGTGTTTTTACGCCTGGCCTAAGCAAGAAAGTCATACCGCCATTTATTAGAAGCCTTGAGATCTCCCTAACGCTTTTCTTACTTACTTCTGTTATAATTATCACCAATTCGTAACACGCGATATTTTACTATAGTAAGATAACTAAAATGATGATAACATTAAAACTGTTATTGTTCATCTCCTTTACAAAATTCCACCGTTTTTACATTCATTTAATCCACACATTACTCACCTTGACCTCGGAACCATTGGAAGCGAACAAACTTAATGATATTGCTTCAACTCATATATACCAGCATCGGACAAAGCACGACAATTGGGCATACAATTTCCAATGAACAAAGGATGCATCTTAAGATCGATCTAGTGACCTACATTCACGTTTGTATCACACATGGCATTGTGATCAAATCCTTTGCAGTGCGAATGAATTGGAAAATAATAAATCGGTCGCATCTGCGATACCTCATTCCGTTTTTGGATGTCACGGCGCGTGCACGATTTATGTGTACAATGAAATAAATACAAACAAACAGTTTTAATAACTGCTGTATTTAGTGCAAAATAAGTATTTAATTTTTAATTTTCAAATTACGTCTATTTTGAATTTAATTGAGTGTTAGAGATATTGTGACAAAAATGTTTACGAAATTTATTAGTTTATTCACCTTAATAAATTTCTGCTATGCCGACTTCTTTTCAAATCAAATCAATCATATGGAATATTACAAGAATAGAACGAGACCTTCTAAAGCGTTTTCAAGTTTTTCCATAAACTATTTCAACCAGAACCTCGTGTCGCGTCCGGGAAATTCTGAAAAAGTGCAGTGCGGTACAAGAACAGTTGACTTTAATCCGAGGAGGGTGGGAAAAATTGTTGGCGGATCAGAAACACCTTATGGGGCTTATCCATGGCAGGTAAAGAGTTGTATTATCTTTTTTTATTTAATCGAGTTCGTGATGTATTTTTTAATTAGTTTTCTAAGGGTAATTTTAAATTTGTCTATGTGTAATTTTAGTTTTATAGGTGATATGTTTACTGCCTAGGAGTCCTTCTGGATAGATATTTTTTTAAGTGGAAGAACCACGCTGCTGCTGGATTGTGGTTACAGCACGAATGGGTCTGCTCGACCGGGGTAGGACCGTGCTCTCACGGAATACCAACGTAAAATAGCTAAGGCTGTTGTGTTTCGTATGGTGAGTGTAGAAATCCGGAGACCGTTTTTACTGTAAGCGAGGCATTCCATCTTAGTCATCAGTGGTGAAAACGCATCTACATTTTGATTCTTAACTTAGGATAAATGTAGATGTTTATGGGCCACAGCATACACTTGCCATCAGGTGAACTGTGTGCTCGTTTGTCACTTTTATTCTATAAAAGAAAACCCTCTTTTCTCAGTTTCTGATGCCTAGTAGAAGTTGCACTGCAGTGTCCCGGTTTGAATAGTATAGAGACTTGGTATAATTACAAGCTTCGAAGCATTCCATCTTAGTCTTTAGAGGTGTTTTTATTAGTTTTGTAACGCATGGCACTTAAAATACAGCATTATCAGCTTTATTGTAGAACACAAAAAGCTGATACAAAACATGATGTTCATTACGACTAAGCGTTTATTAATATGTCATTTTTTTTATTTGGCTGCGACATACATTCATGGTGGCCGAATGAGGACGCTCAAGGTCGCTCAGTGAGCTATGGAGAGGGCTATGCTCGGGGTTTCTCTGCGTGACTAACTTAGAAATTAGGATATCCGCAGTAGAACTAGAGTGACCGACATAGTCCAACAGATTAGTAAGCTGAAGTGGCAATGGGCCGGCCATATAGCTCGAAGAACCGACAACCGTTGGGGAAAAAAGGTTCTCGAGTAGCAGCCTCGTAGCGGTAGGCGAAGTGTAGGGCGACCCCCCACTAGATGGAGTGACGACCTGGTAAGACATGCAGGAAGCCGATGGATGCAGGTGGCTCAGGACCGTGCTTTGTGGCATACTTTGGGGGAGGCCTATATTCAGTAGTGGACTTGTGAAGGCCTGTATTGTTGATGATGATGATACATTCGTGCGGACCGAATGAAGCTGGAGTAACTCCCTACAGAATCTTAAATTTTCATTTAATTCATTTTTTGTTGTTCACTCAGTCGTAGCCCTCTTTGTTTGATGTGGGCTGCATAATATATCCAAAGACTGCCGTAGCAATCAAGTGTGGCGAATTCTTTTGTCAAATCAGTTTTGAAAATGATTACACTGAAATCCCATTGTCCGTCTTCAAGTGTTTAATAGTTGTTTTAGTGTATTAAATGATATTTAAATATTTTATTTTTGGTACAGAAATGTTATATTTCTTATGTAATATTCAACCAACAACAACAACTTTGTATAAAAAAATTATCGTATTAAAATATATTTTTAAATGTTATAATGTAGATTAGTTTATTTCGCAATACTGTTGACGTTTTTTTTTAAAGTTTCCGTATTTCTTCCGTATCGTAGAGGTATTCGCGATTTTACACATATAAATTTCATATAGACATACGCCCACGCTAGATACAATTTTATGTAGGGTATATTAATTATGGCACGTTCCATGCGGGAATCGAACTCGTGGTCCGTAATGTGGAAGCCAAAAACTTGGACCCCAAAGTATTGTCTGCTCAAAATTTTTATTTATTTATACTTTTCATATATTTACATTTTTACTGATAGCAACGTTAGAAACAAAACTTAAGCCATCTTCAGTAGTTTTGAGTTTAGAACTAAAGTTGAGAGTAAGATAATTACCAATGTTATAGTGATGTCCGTGTTTCGATTTCGTACGTATAACGTTCATAACATGACCTTTTTTGTCTCGCATAATATCTCGACAAGAAATCGTATTTTTTGATCAAAACTAAAAGTTAGCCCAACTAATATCTGACTAAACTTTAATCAAAATTGATTTTTTAGTTTTTACAAAGATAATATCAAATTACAATTAAACACATTCTCATAAATCAACAGTTGCCTAAAGCTTATATATTATATTATTTCTGTTTTTATATTAATTTATTATTCTTCTCCTCTACCATAGATTGTCTCAGGGGGATATTTGCCATAGGTGTTGTTTTTATTGTATTTAATATCCTTAAAAACAATCGTAAATAACATAAAACATGGTAAAGCCACGCTACGGCTATATTATGGTTGTAGCACGAATGGGTCGGCTCGACCGGGGAAGGACCACGCTCTCACAGAATACCAACGTAAAATAGCAGGTTAATACTGCTGTGTTTCGTATGGTGAGTATAGAGATCCGGAGACCTTTTTTTACTGGAAACGAGGCATTGCATCTTACTCCTCAGGGCTGATAACGCATCTGCATTTCGATTCTTTGTCGAGGATAAATGTAGATGTATATGGGCCGCAGTATCCACTTACCATCAGGTGTACTGTGTGCTCGTTGGTCACCCTTATTCTATATAAAAAAAACTGGAATCCACTCAAACCAAAAGTAAAAATGCCTTTTCTATCTATCTCATTGAGCGTGCGCGTCAGTGGTACTTTGCTTAGGATGTTAATTTTCCCATGCAGCACGGCAAATAACGCACGCAAAAAGTAAATGATTCAATGAGTAAAGAAAGGTTCAATCTACATACGAAATATTGATAAAAATGTATAATTTGAGAATAATGCAATTGGATTTACGAGTACATATTCAAATGAAGCCGTGTAAGCACAGGGGCTCAGCGCTCGCTGTAAATATTACAGTACGCGAGCAACGCGGTTTCGGGCCCCGCCGGCACCAATGAAATTGTTAGTTAGAATTTTAAGTGCTACTAGGTGATATTAAGTATTACGTGCTCTACGGTGAAGGAACACATCTTAAGGAAACCTGCATGTCTTAGAAATTAAAAAAATATTACTGAGGCATGTGTAGTCTACCAATACGCATTGGGGCAGCCCGGCGGACCTTTCCTAGCCCTAACCTAAAACCTTCTCAAAAATGTAAGGAGGTATGTGCCCAGGATTGGGACGTAGTGGTTTGTAACTTAAACTTTCTACTTTTAATTCATTGCATTATTTTGATTTAACAATAATTTATTAATAATCGTCATTGCAGATAATTTATTTTATTACTTTATTAGCATTTATTAACACTCTATTGTGTTGACATCTACTTGTAGTATAGTATTATAAAGAGAAAGTGAATTTGTGAAAGACAAAATGGAGTGGATTTACATACTACGCCACGGCATTATCAATTATTAGCGACGCGCCCAGAGTTTTCATGGATAGGATTTATTAATGTGGCACTATTTAGCCATTTATGTTATAAATTTTAAGTTTAAAAAAATCTAGGATAAAATATAGTTTTGATCCCTCCATGCACTGTTCTCTTGATCTGTTCATAAAGTTTCATTACAACGGTTGAGCCATTCCATAGACCGACAAACATTTTAAAAATGGTTATTAATGTCTTAAAAACAATCAAACGACCCCCTGAGCTTAATATAGATAAGATATACTATCTACTTGCTATTTACCTAAGTATATTGCCAGTGATGACCTATGGATCTGAGACGTAGTCCTTCACTGCTGGCCGTACGAGGAAGCTCAAAGTCATTCAGCGAGCTATCAAGAGGGCTATGCTTGGGGTTTCTCTGGGATAAACTTAGGAATGAGGATATCCGCAGTAGAACCAGAATGACCGACATAGCCCAACGGATTAGTGAGCTTATGTTATAAATTTTAAGTTTTTTTTAAAAGATCCAGGATAAAATATAGTTTTGATACCTCCATGCATTGTTCTCTTGATCTGTTCATAAAGTTTCATTACAACGGTTGAGCCATTCCATAGACCGACAAATATTTTAAAAATGGTTATTAATGTCTTAAAAACAATCAAATGACCACCTGAGCTTAATATAAATAAGATATACTATCTACTTGATATTTACCTAAATATATTGCCAGTGATGATCTATGGATCTGAGACGTGGTCCTTCACTGCTGGCCGTATGAGGAAGCTCAAAGTCATTCAGCGAGCTATCAAGAGGGCTATGCTTGGGGTTTCTCTGGGATAAACTTAGGAATGAGGATATCCGCAGTAGAGCCAGAATGACCGACATAGCCCAACGGGTTAGTGAGCTCAAGTGGCAATGGGCTGTTCATATAGCTCGAAGAACCGATAACCGATGGGGAAAAAAGGTTCTCGAGTGGCAGCCTCGTACTGGTAGGTGAAGTGTAGGGTGACACCCCACTAGATGGAGTGACGATCTGGTAAGACATGCAGGAAGTCGATGGTTGCAGGTGGCTCAGGACCGTGCTTGGTGGCATTCCTTGGGGGAGGCCTATGTTCAGCACTGGACTTGTGAAGGGCTGTAATCAAAATAAAGTATATAGTATTAAATATATTTATAATAATAATAATCCTTTATTGCAGACACAAAGATCCATATTTACAAGAAAATATAATATAGCATATATATATATATATATATATATATATATATATATATATATATATATATATATATATATATATATATATATATAGTATAGCAAGAATAGACATGTTGCAATATTTCCAAAAGTCTATCGTCACCCAGCAACTTTTACCCAACATCTGTACATTGCAGTCTGTATCTGCCTATCTGCCAAACTACGCACAATATAGTTGTCACACAAGTCAACTCTGGACATAAATGATGCTATCTTCTTTCGATGGATAGCATTAAAAGAGTCAACCCGCGTTTTACGTACATTTCAGAGGCGCTACAATAGCAATTAAATCCCATTAGAAGTCTAAAAATATTATAAGTTACCCGTATACTATTATGTGTTTTCTTTGTATAGTCTACCCAGAGTTGACACGTGTAAAATGCTTGGCAGAAAGATCTAAGCAGTGTAATTTTCACGTCCGGCGACGCCGAATTGCAGAATAT